TTTGTGGTTGAAAACACTTAAAGACTGGTTCCTTCTGGCTAATGTGCCAAATTGATCTATTAAAAGATTGAGGCATGCTGTTTCACTTTTTTGTGTGTGAATCCGTGAAAAGGGAGGTAAGGTTTGGGGGAACGGAGCATGCCCCTGAGCCCAAGGTGAGACCACTTTCATTTTTTCACTTTACTCTTCCAATTTTCATCATATACATGGACACAAATACAGAGAACAATTTTTTAAAGTAAAAAACATTTATTATTATAATCTGGTATATACATGAAAAATGTCTTTTGGTTGCATTATGTTTTGAACAAGAGGCATTTAAACAAATTTTGGGGGGGGGGAAAGAAGGGAACTATGCACATTTTTTTGCAGTTGTACTCTTTCTTGTCATCAGTCAGGTAGTCTTGATTGGTTCCTTCTGTAATGCAGGGCATATGTGCCCACCTCTTGCAAGAATCACACTGTACCTTTGATAAGTAACAATTAAGAAATGAAATCAAAGAAGTTATAATGTTACACATACTTTTCATTCACTCATGCTATTCCTTCCACATGTCAGCATTACCTAACGTATGTATGCCTATCAGCATGAAGAAAATGTTTACTGATGTGGATTTTTTACAAGAATCATGATCCTTAGGCAGTTTATGGCATTTATTTCTCATATAATTCTATGTTTCTTACCATCGTGCAATCCTCACTTTCCTTTTCACAGTTGATGAGGTTGCAGTATGTGCAGTAGTCTTCTACGTTTTCTTAAAAATATATATATCGTTATGAAATGATGAATACATTATGACCAAAACTGAAAATGCAACTCTTCATTTATTAATTAATGTCAATATTTTAATCCAGTCAATGGTCTGAACGTATCTTTTCTTTTTTTGTGCCTCATATTTTCTCAAATTTTTAGTTTATTGCCCCTGTATCTAAAAATGCCAATTTCATTTAGCTGGCCAATCAATAGCAATCATCATTCACCTGATTCAAATTTTTGTGTACTTAAGGATATTATTGGTTCATAGTCACCATTACAGAACCAAACCTGTGAGATATCCCACTTTAGGGGTATTAAGATAACTGTCTGCTATGTGACATAATTCCACTCTTCATGTTATCTTCACATGTGCCTAATGAGACAACAGTACATGTTAGAAAGTAATTACCTGACTCCTTCATTAGAAGAATTGCTATATGTCTTCTAAACACAATATTAGCCTCTTGTGTTGTTTCTACCATACTGATATCTTCGTGCTGCAAATACGCTTCTGCAAACTAACAACACTGATATTTAGAATAAACATCATAATTACCAGAGGTGAAAGTGGGCCGGTTCAGCATACCGGTAAGACCCAGCCACTTGTACCGGCCCTTACACGGCTGACGTTACACTTCCGCTGTGGTAGTGCTTTATGCTTTAATGTCGCTGCCCCCTTTAGCACCCTCCCCCGCCCCCCCGCATCAGCGGCCCTGCCATAGGGTCCGGCAATGCTGTTGGATGCTCCTGGCAGGGCTGCCGACAGTGGGGGAGCAAAATGTGTCCTGGGCTCTGGCGATTTACAAGGGCCTGGTTCTCCTGGCCACTGCAGCAGCAGCTGTGAGGAAGGGCTGGCTGGTGGAATCTGGCCCCCCAGCACCGCACCTTCTGCTGGAGACCCCATCCCTTCTGGGGGCCACAAGCCCAGCCCACACACCTTGGCAAGGACGCTGGTGTAGTGCCCACTGGTAATCTCCGGCATTTACTTTCACCCTGGATAATTACACAAATATAACAAATAATAATGGCAATTTGGTATTCAATACCTTTAAGATGAGTGGTCCGCAGTTGTAGCCATCACTTTGTCTGGGATGATGAACAATTTTACTGTTCCAATCAGATGAGGATTTTCTAGTTAATCGTTTGATGAAGTTTCTGAAATTTTTAGAGAGTACATTAGCAGACTGCATAAATGAGCTTTGCTTTCCTTTTTTCCCCCCTCCGGTTTATGGACATAGATAAAAATCCATTCTCTCTCTTTTTAATTAATTATGGAAATTACTTATTGCTCACATATATACACACTTGCTTTCATATTATTGTCTCACTCTTACACAATGTATCATCTGATTTGCTGTGACCCATGTTGATAATAACACATTCTCAATCATGCAACATGCTACAGTTTCATGTCCACATTCTGTTAAGTCGTTCCCCAGAGTCAAATCACACAAGTTCACTCAAAGTCCATTACTAGGCATATTCAGTACAAGTACATGCTGTTTCAATTTTTATTTGTAGCTAATAGGAAGATATTAGTCTCACAATTGTTACATTCCCTTCAAAAAAAATTTCAATGGAACAGTTAATGTCCACTGTAAAAGTAAGTATCTAATAAATCACCTCCAATTCCTCAGGCATGTTCTTTCATATCTCATCTCATCACACAAGGGGTCAATTATTAACCATTCTTTTTTTTTTCATCGAGGCTATCTGTGAGTTTAAATATATTCACAAATTATATTGGTAATGTGATTATTCCAAACATTTTATAATGATTTCTCAAAAATCATTATGCAATGAACATATTTTCGTTTGTAATGTCTCAGTAACACAGAAGAGAAAAGCATATTGTGAAATCATTGATCAATTCATTACAGAATGTATTCTTCCAAGTTACACTCACAACATAACTTGACAGTAGCATTTTATTTTTAACATTCACATTCCACTTTCATTTGCATGCACTGAACTCACTGTTTTGAAGAAAAACGGTGGCGGGAGGAAGGTTGTCCACATGGCCTGATAAGTGCTTTATAAAAGTCTGATGATATTTTTTGAATAAAATTAAAGGTGGATGATTCAAAACTGAACTTTTCTGTGCCATGTGTGTCCTAAGACAGTGGAATTTGCTGCCACTGGGAATTATTGAGGCCAAGAAATTAGCAAGATTGAAAAAGGCATTTTGTCTTGGTATGGATAAACTATATAATATCCAGAATTGTAATAGTTAATACTGACACATTTTGGAAGGGATACTAAACCTCATACTTCGGGATTGAGACAAGATCGCTAAATATTAGAGATTAGGATGTGACCTAAAATGGGGGCAGATTAGCCGAGCAGGTTTTTTTTGCAGCCACGACAGCTCTCTGCGCAGTGATTCTGGCGGGGAGGGGGAAAAGCAGCAGCCCCTCCCCTCCCTGTTGCTCCTGGATGCACTGCCTTGGTGTTTGCTGGTGCTGCCAACAGGGGTTGGCACCCTGCTCCGCCTCTGGAGACACATGGGGCACAACGCCAGAGGAATGCAGGTGGCTGGTGGGTTCCCAATCCACCTTCCTGGGGGTGGTGGAGCCTGGGCTTGGGTTTCAGTGGTGGGTCGTTGGGCTCCAGTTGTGGGGCTTTAAGCTTCAGCCTTAGGGTGGGGCTCCCCACCCACCCCTTCATTGCCCCGGCCCCACTGCCTTCCCCCACCCCAATGCTCCAACCTCCCTTCTGCAGCCTCACACTCTGGGGAAGGGATAGTTCAGTGGTTTGAGCATTGGTCTGCTAAACCCGGGGTTATGAGTTCAATCCTTGAAGGATCTGGGGCAAAAAATCAGTACTTGGTCCTGCCTAGTGAAGGCAGAGGGCTGGACTCAATGGTCTTTCAGGGTCCCTTCCAGTTCTATAAAATAGGTATATCTCCATATTTAAAAAAAAAAAAAAGGCCCTCCTTGCCTCTTGACCACAGCACCACCCCGACCACTGGACTGTGGGCAGTAGCTCCCTGTAAGGCCAGCCCTCTGGTTAAATCCCCCCAAATATAGAAGTTAAACTATGCTGTTTAAGTCTAGTAAAGAATAGAGATAAGTGTGCATTATTTTTAATTGAGTCTACAAAACAAAAAACAAACAAAAATACTTCTATAAATTGCAATGATTTGGATGTGTATATTTATTTGTTTTTCCTAAAGTTAATTAAGTATTTTAGGAAAAAGTGTCAGAGCAGCCACCAGCAAGAGTTTGTGTCTGCACTCTGAGGCGACAACAGGGTAAACAGCATTAACATTAACATCTCGGGGGAAGAGTCCAGCTGTGAATTTGGAGCCAGATCCTGCTTTGGATCTGAATCCACCGGCGCTGCGGAGCGTTCAGATGTGGGGAGCTAGCTCCCGCCCGTGCCAGATCACAAAGTGCCACTTCAGCCAGCCGCCTGCCAGGCTCTGGCAGCGCCCTGTGTGGAGCTGCAGCTGGGCCCTCCAGAGCCGAGCTGCTGCTGCTCCTCTCTGCTGGCCAGCCAGCCGCAGCTCCTCAGCACCTGCCCGCTCAGCCCCACCTCAGTGCTCCTGCCTCCCCAATCTCCTCCCTGGCGCTGCACCTCGCCCCCTGCACCTGGCATGTCAATACCCAGCGGGGCCGGGAGCCAAGTGTCCCAGGAGCCATCTGTAAGGTGCTGATTCCCTCCTGTGCTGAGCTCCAGCTAATCCACAAGCCAGGAACTGGCCTTGTGTCTCCCAGAGCAGGTATATCAGTCTCACAGCAGCAGCTCAGTCTGCTCAACATCACTCCAGGGCCAGGAACTCGCTCCTGCCTGACACAGGCAACAGGCTGAGCCTGCTCCAGCCCTGTTCCTAGTCCTACTCCAGCCCTGGTCTCGCTCCAGCCTTGCTCCACCCATGCCCCGCCCTGCCCCCTGAGTCCAGCTCCAACCACTAGGCCTGACCACCTCCATCACCTTTGATGACACCATCACTTCCATAGGAAATGGCACTGAGGTTGCCGGGGGAACAGGAATTCTCAGGGTGCCAGGAGCCATTGTTCTATTTACCAGGACAGTCCGATGCCAGGACAGTGCCCCTCAGCACTGCAAAGGACTAGGGCTGCATTAGGACACCTGAAGTGCAGCTGCTGGAGAGTCAGCAGAACCGCCCGGAGACAGCCACGCTTGCCTCCCAGCCCGGGAAGCCCAGAGACCCAGAGCGTAGACGTCTCTCAGAGCATCTCTGCCAGCAGGAGACATTGGGTGAGGAATAGAGCCGTCCCGCCTTCGGGCAGGAGCCATTTAGGAGACCCAGCGTGGCTGGAATCGGGCTGTGTGTGTAGTGTGTGTACAATGTCTAGCACTGCAGGGCCCTGATCTGGGACTGAGCCCTCTGGGCACTGGCGAAAAACAAACGAGACCAGCAGCGCTGGGGGCTTGCCCGCTCCCGTGTTAGGAGGTCAGGTCGGGT